AAGGATCCCGTGGATACCCGGCACGCTGCCCCGGGAGCACCTGCTGCTCCCTAAAGGATCCTGTGGATACCCGGCACGCAGCTGGTTGGAGCCTTTGCTTCCCTCTTGTGCATTCCCTCTCTCTCCTTCTCCCTCCCGTCCCCACAGCTCCTTCCCTTCGGCCGCGCTGCTCCCCTGAGGAGGCAGCAGCTCCCAGCGCACGACACCGGAGAGTGTGGCAGGTGCCAGCCCTTTGGGATGCAGTTTGCTATCCCTAAGGAGCAGTGTTTTTGCCAGGAAAGCCCCTTTTTGCTGTTTTTTTTGAGGAATCTTGAGTTGGCTTTGAGTGCAGGTCAGTTTGAAAAGGGAAGTTGTAACAGGCAAGGAAGGAGGAGTTGAGGCAGGTTGCAGAGCTGGTAGGACAACAAAACTCCTTAGCTTACCAGGGACGGCAGTGGATCCCTGACTAATAGATATATAGACTAATAGATTTTCAATATTGCATGTCCTATGATATTTAAATTTAGGGGATTTTTATGGGTCCCCTGAAAAGATTTAATAGCTGATTTTTTTTTCCTCTTCTTTCTCTGTCTATCAGAAATGATTAATAAACGCCACTTCAGAACTATAGTAACTTTGTAATGCTTGCAGTACTTAACATTTTATGAGGTAATGGGACATTTAACATTTCATTGTCTTGGTCTCTCTCCTAATATTAGCTCAGCTCATCTTTGAATTGAATGCTGTTCTTTGATACAATTTTCTTACTCTTGGGTAATACTTGGACTGCATTTTGTTAAATTTATATCATTGTGGCAGGGTAGTGTGTATAGCATGCTTTTCAGATTAATAAATCTCTGTTAAAACTTTGAATCTGTGTGGTTTTCCTAATTGCTTTGCCTGACATTAGAGTATTTCATTAGCTCATCTTAGAATTTTTTTTCTCTCTTTTCTTTCTTTTTTTCTGTGCCCTCCTCCCTCTTGTTTTTTGGCTCTGCTTCTCGACCCCTGCTGTAACAATTACGGCCTTCCTGTTTCAGAAGGTGTAATGACTCAACAGACCTTAAAACCTCGGGTCAATTTAAAAGCAAATTACACATTAAAGGAATTAAAGACAAGTGCAGCTTTTCCTCCCCTCCCAAAGATCTATAAGAACACAGGATCAATAGCAGTGATTTAATGAGAAGCCAGTGGAAAATATGTTCAGTAACTCCGTGGTTTCTAGCTCTGCTCGTGCCGCGTAGCCGGGGTGCCTAGGAAAGGGCCTGTTTGCTGGTCCTGCGCCCTGCCCCGTGCCCTGCTCTCCCCGCTTAGACCTGCTGTCCGTCGGTTTGGGAAGCAGAACCGCGTTGGAGATCTCATTCGGTTACTCATCAAGTTAGCTCCTTGCTCTGGTTCCCGTCGTGGCTCACGCAGGAACGTGTGGTTTTGATGCTGGAAAAGGGCAGAGGGCCCGGGCGAGCGCTGGGGGCAGGCGCTGCTGCTCCCTGAGCCGCAGCATCAGCGTGGACTGAGGCCCTCCAGAAAGGGCCTTGTCCTTGCCTGGCAGCGGGTAGGAACGGCGGCGATGTGAAAACACTGTCTGATTTTCTGTGTAGTCACACTCGTCTCGCGTTGTAGTTAGAGTATATGCACAATACATAGAATGAAAGGGGGTATTGCTGTGAGCATGTGGTCGTTAAGTCAGTTATTTGATTTGTGATTGCAAAATTCTCACTAGAAAGAAAATGGATATATTTCTATATCTATGTATGTGTGTGTTTATGTTATATATCACTTAGATAATTACCTTTATATCAATAGCTTTAATTCTACAGATTTGTTTTGCTTACATTAAAACTGATTACTTTTCTGTGTTGTCCTTGCTTCTAGACCTGAGCTCTTCAGCTGGGATAAAGTTATGAAGATGCCTCCAGTTGAGAGACTGGAACATGCTTTCAGCATAGCCAAAAACCACCTGGGAATCGAAAAACTGTTGGATCCTGAAGGTGTGATATAATTGTTTTTACTTAATTAGAAATCTTGCTTTTGAGCTATTTTGGGAAAAAAAATGCTGACATTTACCATTGAGTACAAATTCCAGTAGTTTTTGGCAATTATATTTTGTTTCAAGCTGATGAATTTAGGACAGAAAGAATATAAATTTGTAGTGTTAAAGGTGAGTGTGAGCAGGTGCCTTAACGTTAGGATTCAGATTGACCTGCTATTCAGAGGCAGTATACAGGACAGTGCAGCTTGGTACCCTGTAGGGTATTTTTTTGTTTTGTGTTAATTGCAAGTGCCTGTGCTTTTTCAGATGAAGTAGAGCAGTGTGGAATGAGGTAGCTTAAGACCTCAACCTCTGTTCTTGATATCCACTCTGTAGCTGGGACTACCTGCACGGATGGTGTGCTTGCTGGGAAAATATATGCCCCCTTTCTAAAGCCCTGCTTTGTCACCCTGCTTTGGAATGAGCCTCCAAAGATTCACTGTTTGTGAGAAGCTCTCAAACTATAGATTCAAGCATCACCGCCGTAATTACTGTCAGGTGGATGGGTAGAGTTCATAATCCCCTGTGGCATATGTAGCTGAGGTTGTGAAACACTCCTCCATATTATAAACCAGAAAGTGCCCTGACCAGTGCTAGGAGCAAGAATAGAGCACCTGCTGAAAGTTTGTTTATGGAGGACACCGTCCCAGAACTGCTTTTCTTCTTGGAGGGTGCTCGAGAGCAGTTTTTTCAAAATGGTGGTATTAGCTCAGTAACTTCAGCTTTGTGCTCTTACTAAAAAAAAAAAATAAATAAAATCTGATTTTTAATTCACTTTCTACAGTAACAGTGATTTTATATTTCTTCAGTTGCTTGTGGTGCTTTGTGCATCAGTTATTACAGTCAAACATGACCTTTTAACTTAAAGCTTACAAGAGGTTAATTAATAAGACAACCAGTTGTTTCTACCAGAGTATATGAAATCTTAGCTGTGTTTTTGGTAGTGATTTAGAAAAGCAGTCTCTTGATTTAATATCCTCTACTCCCTTTTATTTATTTTTGATGCAGATGTTGCTGTGCAGCTTCCAGACAAGAAGTCTATTATCATGTATTTAACCTCTTTGTTTGAGGTGCTTCCTAAGCAAGTGACCATGGAAGACATCCGTGAGGTGGAGACCCTTCCAAGGAGATACAAACAGGAATGTGAGGATGGGGAATTCAGTATGCAGCAGGTATGTTTGTCATCAAAGTTTGGCTAGCTTTTCCAGAGTTGTAATTTTAGCTACAAGCTTCAGGCTTGTTAGTTTTATCTGCAACATGCTTTCTATCATGTACAATGCAGTTGGGAAGATAAGAAAAGCCTTGGCACTTTCTTCGTGGTTGACTTCCATGCTTTTATCTTCCTTTTCATTTTCTTCTGATTCCTATTAAAAATCCTGTCTGAGGTAGAAATTTCCATCAGTTTATGCCTCTTGCTGCACCTTTCTCTCTCATCTCTCTTGCTGAGCTGCAGAGGGTGGCCTAAAATCTTCAACTGAGTTTGCAGTGAGGCTCATAGGTTTGCCACAGAAGCAATAGAATTTCATTTGCTTTTGCTGCTCTGTGATCCACTATTTCATTTAATTAAAGTTGTCTTTTCTATCCAGACTTTTTTTTTTAATTAAAATTAATTGGCAGTGTCTGCTGGCCCTTCTTGTTAAAAATGCACTCACCAATTGGTTTTAATGTCATACGAAGTATTGAAAGGGATCTCAATTGTTCTATTTTTAGTACCACGGGGAAAGCATCTTCTTTGCATGCCTAAAGTGTCACTTTACTCTTTGCTGCCTAGGCTGTAGGACTTGAAGAGGAGCAGGGTGATTCTAGAGCAGAAACTCCCAGCACCGTGACGGAGGTGGATATGGACTTGGATAGCTACCAAGTTGCTCTGGAGGAAGTCCTCACATGGTTGCTGTCTGCTGAGGATACGTTTCGGGAGCAGGAGGAAATATCTGATGATGTCGAGGAAGTCAAAGAACAATTTTCTACCCACGAAGTAAGATTTTCCTGAAAATTCTTGTGGTTATGGGGCAGGGGAGCATGGGGCAGGGCTTATAGCACTTCCGTTTCATAGTTCATGTCCAAAACCTGATATTCTGTTTCTTTTGTCTTGCTTTCCCTAAATTAGAAGCACTTCTAACTCAATATTTTCTCTTGGTAAATGATGGTTTCTTGAAGGTGAAGCACCTTTTTCAGAGGTTTTACAGTGGAACGTGTTTTGAAACTTGAACTTAGTTTGTCAGCTTTCCATGATCAGCTCCATGGTTTCTTTGTATTATGATACAGGCTGATTCTCATTTCTGTGCTGCCAGCCACTAAAAAGCCTGGTCAACCCTATGTCACTTGCTGTTAAATGATAGCAGTGCTGAAGCTGATAATCATGTCAGTTTAATTCAGTGGCCTCTTTTTCATGATTAGCATAGTTTAGTGCTTATCTAGAAACATGATGTGTTGCTGTTTCAACATTTTTGCTGTTTCCAAATGATTGTGTTTGGATTCTGTTCCAGATAGAAGCAAATGTTCTAGTGTTGCTAAAAGTTTCGGATGTCATGCTAGATGTTGTAGTTTTCCCCTTTGTCAGCTTACTGTATATAATTCCATTTAAAATCTGAATGAAGATTGGTGTGAAGAATGGTCCTTTTGTGCTAGGGCTGTAAAGCCATAAATGAAGAAATATCTGGGTTTTTGTTAAATATGTGGATTTTTAGCATTACTAACTCATAGCATTCTAATTGTTTTCTTACAGTGCATATTAGATCTTGTTCAATGTGCTGTTGGCCAATTTTGGTTTAATTTTCTTGGTGCCTTTGTTCCAAGGTTGTCTCTTAATAAAAAACTTTTTCTCTGAGGCAAAGTCAGTTTTTGTTGCTCAAGTAGCTCCTGGTTTTACTGTCTCCAAGAACTTCTGGAGCTCATGGGGAGTCTCCGAGCAGAGAGGCGGATCTGCCACGCTTGCACGTCTGGTGATGTCAGATGGAGCTGTGGCTGCTTGTGCTTTTCCTAGGCTTTCATGATGGAGCTCACTGAGCACCAGAGCAGCGTGGGCAGCGTCCTGCAGGCTGGGAACCAGCTGGTAGCGCAGGGCAATCTGTCGCCCGAAGAGGAGTATGAGATCCAGGAGCAAATGCAGCTGCTGAACAGTCGCTGGGAGGAGCTCAGGGTGGAGAGCATGGACAGGCAGTCCCGGTGAGTCAGGCTGCGTACGGAGCAGCCCCTGGCAGCTACTGCCTCTCCTGGGAATTAGTTGGCGTCCGGTCATGGGACTTTGTCCGAATTTAATCTGCTCTTTTTGTGACATAAAATCTACCCTCTTCATACTTTCCGTGATAAACCAAAGGGAATCAATAAAACTCTGTTTGTATTTTCACATAAATATAAGTGCTTCTGTGACTCGTCTGTACCAGGCTAAATACATAGGGTCTCCATAGTAGTTACATAAACGTGTTATAATGTTTAATTTGTTTATACCTGACCGGTTCATGAATGTCTGACTGTCTGTAGTTTAGACCCTTTCTTTGGGAAAGTGCTTCTGAAGTGCCTCCGCTTTGCCTTGCAGGCTGCATGACATGCTGATGGAGCTGCAGAAGCAGCAGCTGCAGCAGCTCTCCGACTGGCTCACGGTCACCGAGGAGCGCATCCAGCACATGGAGTCGCAGCTCTTGGCTGAAGATTTAGAGGCTCTTCAGAAGCAGCTGGAAGAACACAAAGTAAAGCCTTTTGTGTGTTTGGCACTACCTCTTCTCTGGCAGAAATACTGGGGAGATCTGTAGGCTGGTGGGTTCCTTTAGCAGAGAAGCTCCGTTGAGTCAGAAACTGAACGTGGCTGTGTTTTGAGGGGCTGCTTCAATGTTTGGAAAGGAAGGATTGTGGCAAAGAAGAGAATTGGACATTTCTGGAAGTACTTTAACTGAATGCTTGAGCACTGATACCTGTAAGCAGAAGCCTTTTTTTTATCTTCACCTCATGCTGAAAATGAGGCCTCTTCAGTGAATTGTTGGTGTGAGGGAAAGTATGAAACACCCAGTGGTCAAATTTGCCTCTAATGACTGACTGGGATTACTAAAGCAAGCCTGAATGTTCACGACTTAAAATAATGTGGGAGCTAAAAATAACAGGGAGGTCCTCCCAAGTTACTGAACGTAGTCGCTGTTATTACAGGGATGGCGTCACGGACAGGGCGCGCAGATGTTGCTTTCTGATACGCACAACTCTGCAGTTGGGCTGACCCTCAGTAAAGTTTCTGGAGGAGTCCAGCCTTTCCATGCTGCTCTGTTTCTTGAAGAAGGAGGATGACTTTTTGTACTCGTCGCAGCTGCAGCTTTGGTTGTTGTAGTGAGCGCTGAGGTTTGACCTTCTGCCCAGCGTGGGGCAGAGCTGCTGCGTATTTTTAGTCTGTGCCATTTCCTGTCCCACATTTGCCTTCTGTTGTCAGTCTTCAGAGTCAGGGGAGCTTGAGGTGTGCTGTTCATGGAGTGATTTAGGGTTGTTTGGAGTTGAAAAGTGATAGGAATGTAAAAGTATATTTCTGTTGCAAAGATGGTTCAAAAGTAACTTTAACCATGAAATCTATTCTTCTAGAAGTTGTATGAATATTTAGATATTTAAATTATTGCAAAGTGATAGGATATGAATGTTTTTTCCAGTTCTTGTATATCTTTTTGTGACTATTGTCTCTGAATGTTGTGATGGGTAAACCACCATCTATACTTAGTCGTGAGACAATTTTAATGTCAACTATTAAAAGACAGATGTTCATAGTGATTATTTTTCCCCTTTCTGGCATGCCTGTGATAGTTTTTTTTATAGACGATAACATGTTTTTATAGAGGGACTTAAGCAGTAGGTGAAAGTCGGAAAGTCTATATGGTTATTTTATGATTCTCCTAGTGGGATGCGCTACCAACACGTCAAAGCATTCCTTGCTATTTTCCAGCATTTTAAGAGAATGGATTTAGATTCATATCTAGCAGTCTTGTGCTTGCATGTGTTTGCGTTGTGCAGTGGTTCTCCAGAGGCAGGATCTTGACCCAGCTGCCGAATCCCCAGTGCTTTGCCACAGCGAGTGTTGCAGTTCCTGTGGCCGAAGCAGCAGATTTGCGCAGTGCTGGGCGCTCATAACCATTGCTGTCGCCTTGCAGAGCCTGCAGAGCGACCTGGAGGCCGAGCAGGTGAAGGTGAACTCCCTCACCCACATGGTGGTCATCGTGGACGAGAGCAGCGGGGAGGGCGCCACGGCCGTCCTCGAGGAGCAGCTGCAGGTAACAGGGTGTCTCTGAGCTGGGCTCACAGGTGCTCCAGGTGTCTGCGTGTGCCTGTTAAACCATGCTGGAAGCCATCTGTTTTAGAAAATGTTTCAAAGCAGTATTAACCTAAAGGTTTGTTCAGCTTGCTAAGGATAAAACCTGCAAAAGTGCCTTGGTGACCTTCAAGCACAATGGCTGATGTGTCAGTCTGCCTGGATCTTTAGCAGCTTTGGCACTTTGCAGTGCCTCCTTTCAGCAGTTTCATTAAAATGGGAAGACACATAGCACTTTTTTTTTTTAATAGGTACTTTTCAGTGGGTTGTTAATGGGCTGTTATTTAAGAAGTGATCAGAATTTATCAGAATACCCTGTATCCTGAAACAAAGCGTAGTATCTAGAAAAAAAAAGGGGGATTGTTGAAACAAGTTTTGTACAATACAACAATGTCAATTACTGACAATGAGGAAACTGCAGTGTAGAAAGAGGTTACTGTGAGGTAGAAATTGTGCTTTTGAATATCTGATTCTGAGTTTCCTTGTGAGGCTCACGGGTATTTCCTCCTTTTTCTAGAGGCTTGGTGAGCGGTGGACAGCAGTTTGCCGTTGGACTGAAGAACGACGACTCAAATTGCAAGAAATTCAGTTTTTATGGCAGGAACTGCTGGAAGAGCAGGTTAGTTGCTCTCCAGTTACCCAAAACGACTGACTGTTTTGAAAGTTGAAATTCTTCCCTGCACTTTGTTTTATGGAAACTGTGAAGCTAGTCCTGCAATAACTTACTGTTGGATGCAGTCACAAAAGACAGCTCCTATCTCAGCTGGATCTGACTGATGTCTGATGAGTCAGGTTCCTCTGTGGTTTCAGACCTTATCCAGAGAAATGAAGTACAGAAGGAAAATTTGTGCCTTCTGAAATGGAGGCTGCTAGGAACTCAGCTGAGCCTAGAGCAGGGAAAGGGCAAGTTGCTGAGTGCTCTTATCTAACACGGGAAAATGGCCAAAGGCTGGGTAAAAGCTGCTGAGTAAAAGCTGACCTGCTTGGTCATCCTACAAAGATGTTTGTGCCTCTCCTTCTGTGAGACGTGTGCTTTATAGTTAGTGCGCATAGGTGTATATATATGTATTTGCTTTTTTAATATACGCAGATTTGGCTATATAATAACTCTTGGTAGGGATTAACACGCCTCAATAAGAAAGTAACCTAGAAAATAGCCTTGATTTGTATAAAAGATTGAGTTCCCCTCATTTCTTGTGGAGTAGTTGCACAGCCTAAGAAAATAATTTTCCTAAGTTTACGCAAGAATATCTATAACTCCGTACAAAATAATTTCCAAAGCAGGTATTTAATATTTTTATGAGGCAACTTTAAAATAACAAAATGATATTGCTTGGTTTAAGCTCAGTGAAGAATTGCAAAATGGTGAAGAAGTAGGAATATCAGTAGTACCAAAATGACAATGAATGCAGAAGTAATTGATAGCTTGGTAATTACAGAATTTTTTACACAGCTGAACTATAAATTCTTCCAATGTAAACATATGTATACGATTTTGCAATAAACAAATGAGTTGATACTGTTTTAAAAATCAGTAAGATCAAATAATTGGTCTGCATAGTGAAGCCTGCGGCTCATGTCTCATCTTGCTGAGTTTAGGGAAGGAAGTGATGTGCAAAGTAGGTGGCATCGTGAGCTGTGTATGTCGTGGTGTGGTGTGGTGTGCTAACAACACCTCTTAACAGCCCCAGACCAAGGAAAGACTGAGCTGAGAAACACAGCTCTGAGAAAGCCTTACTGCTGCGCCCGGGTTTGGGAACCTGCGTCACTGGGTCTTTGGCCTCCTACGAACTTGGGGTTTTCTAGGGAAAGTCCATCCTCGGCCGTTCATTGAGTGGGAGTTTATTATAAAACTGTTGCAAGTGTCATCTTCTGTTGGACTTACCTTGCTTTCAGATATGTTATGAGGGTCTTGTAATTGTGTTTCTCTGAAAGACTGAAAAAGTTTCTCTGAGTTTTTATTTAACTTAGAATGTCAGATATCAAGTGATGACAAAGCAAAAGTTTATTTAGGTAGTTCAGGTGTCTGGGTTTGCATATTTTGTTCATCTCTGAAAAACGTGTTTATTACTATCAGGTTTGAGAGTCATGAAATGAACTGAAAATTAAAATTACTGGGAACTTTAATGAAACATTAATTAAACTTTAATTAAAAATAATGAAAACATTTTAATAATGGGAAAGTAGCTAAAAGATGCGAGTGTTTCCAGTTTTTCAATCCACTCAACCAAATGGAGAGTTGAGCAACAGTGATGCATCAGCCTTCTTGTGGCTGCCTAGAAAATTTTTGGAAACCACATTGCCAAGTCAACATAATTCCTGCCACTCAGGAAACAAATTCCTCAATCAGTGCCAGTTATTTCTTAGCACTGTAATAATTATGTTTCAGTTTCCTATGGAGAGTTCTCTTTGACAGCTGAGTTGGCAGAAATTAATTTTATACATTGAAAGGGTTTTTTAAGCTCCTCTCTTAAGCAGCAAATATGCTGGCAGAGATGCCAACTCGAGATTTTTCCAGTGAGTATGTGGTGTTGTAATACTGTTCCTTCAGCTTTATGGCATTTCCACCATCATATTTTGCTGTCTGTACATTTTGCTTATTGGACAGCTGTGCTAGCCTTAGGCCCAGAAGGGGCTCCAGGGACAATACCAAAAACACGCAGCTACACTGAGGAGCTGGTGCCTCTGCATGGTTTTTCAGTGAATATCAAGGTCTGCCTTCCTGTATCATTTTATTCTTCTTTGTTTTTTAGACTAGGAGGAGGAGGAGCACTGTGCCAGTGACCACACAGGAGCTTTACTGGGGGGAAGTTCGTTGGGTGCTGTAGTCTATGGAGGGTTAGACAGCTGTGAAGCAGCAGCAGTTCATTTTTAACTTTGTTTGATGCCATGTAATATAAAACACAGTAAATGCTTCCCGAGATTTCAAGCCACATATTACGGAGTTGCCTTAGGAGTGCTGCCTGACTGAAGTAAGAAGTGTAAGGCTCAGGGCAGATTTCCTAGAAGAAAAGAGCCCTGAGCTAGTACTGTCCAAAGCTGACCCATCCTGGCTTTCAGGTGTCAGTGAGACTGTGTTTGCTAAGGTTATTTTGCAAGAAAGAAGCTGCAGCAAACAAGGGGGTAGTCAATAAATATCTGAGGCTGTGATGACTGGACTAAAAGAGCTCAGAATTAGCACTGATGCAGCTTGTGCAAGAAAACAGTTTTTGATAACTGGCTCTGAATAACAGAGGAAGAGGCAGGGAGAATGGAAGGGGGCATGTAGACCATTTTGCTGCATTGGTGAGCCCTGCGTCAGCTTTTGGTGGATATCTGATTTATATGAATAACTTCTGGGAATATGGGGCTCTGCAATTTTGAGAAATGATTTTGTTCAATTTTTTGTGCTGAAAAATATTACTTATCTCTCTTGTGATTTTTTTTTTGTCTCTGTCTATGTAGCGTTCTTGTTAATGCCAGCTGAAATTTCTCCATGTAAGGACGGCAGAACCACATTTTGATTAAATGCAAAGATCTAAAGAAATTTTATCATTAGCTGTTTGAGAAGCTTGATATATTCTTGCACTGTTTCCCTTATGATCTGCAGTGCTTACTGAAGGCTTGGTTAACAGAGAAAGAAGAGGCGTTAAATAAGGTCCAAACAAGCAACTTCAAAGATCAGACAGACCTGAGCGTGAACGTTCGGAAGCTGGCCGTGAGTATCGCTGTGCGGGTCCATCCCGTGGAGTTTGAGAGCATGCAAGAAGAGCAAGTTGTCAGACCTGTCCTTTCTTAATTCTTAATGCACTGCGTCTGTGGAAGCCAGGCACAAATTCTCCCCTTGCTGCATTCTTTGCCTGGAATTTTTAAAATTAGTGTGACACCGGCTCCCCGGCCCTTCTGGGCTGGATAGCTGCCCTGCGAGGTTGATGGGGCTTGGAGTTTCCTGAAGACCCTCAGTCAGCTGTTTTTTCAGAGCTTTTGGAGCATTAGCACAGCTTCTAGCTATACAAATCATTTCAAACTGGTACTCCAGCAGTTAGTGCTGATTACTCGAGTAGCCGAGCTAGTCAGGTGCTCTTTTTGAGACTTTCTCCAAGTGCCTTGCTATGCAAGAAAACAGTTCTGAAATCTGTGATGTGTCTAGCTCAGGTAGGACTTATTCATGGAAATAAAAGCTAAAAAGTGGCAGAATACTTTTATCTTTTTTAAAAAGTATTTTTGTTTAATTTTAGATTTTGAAAGAGGACATGGGCATGAAGCGACAAACACTAGACCAGCTGAATGAGATCAGTCAGGATGTGGCCCAAATCCTTGGGAATAACAGAGCATCCAAGAAAATTGACCATGATCAAGAGGAACTAACTCAGAGGTGGGACAGTTTGGTTCAGAAGCTAGAGGATTACTCCAATCAGGTACCTAACAGTGTTCTGTTACATTTTAGTTGTTTAGATGTTTATCTTTTTTCCTCCAAACTTGATTGATACTATCAGCAAAATTGGCCAGGGCAGGTTTTTGGTATCAGACTAGAGATGGGTAAGTTTGCTCACATGAGACTGACTTTATTTGCTGAGAAGGCTGTCTGGGCTTTTAGGTCTTCAAAACCCCAAGTTATTAATGCAGCTAGTTCTAGGACTCCTTTCTCCAAAAGATTAAGCTTTATTTTTTGGATGCCCAAAATAAGCCAGTCAGTGCAAATGCTGTAAATGTTTTAAGATGAAGTGTTGGATGAACTCTTATACGTAAAAAAGCAAGCAAACAAAAAATGTATTGGGAGAAAATCCCACCACCAACAAAAACCTGAATGGGTAAATATATGGGAATCATACGAGCATTTATGCACCATGGCTGTGTTTTCTCATCTATTGAAAACAGAACTGATTTTTTGTTGTGCAATGCAGAGAGCCAGACAGTGGTGGTAAACGTTTCAGCCATCCAGCTTTCATTTTGGTCTGGCGTTTGAATGAAGCGCTGGGGAGTGCCAAACTCTTGTCTTCATCCTTTTACTCCCCCTCAGTCTCAAATCTCTAGTTGAACTGAGGATTTTGATGTTTTGTTCGCATTTGTAAATGAAAATAACAATGTCGTTCTTTGAGTGTTTAGCATCTATGATAAAAATGCTACATGCAGGCTGGGTGCGTTCGCTTGTATGGTGAATGGATGGAATTTTTGTGACTGAGGAGCAAAACTAAACAAAAGCAATTCACAGATGGTGTGTATTTGAAATGCTATTGAACCCCTTTTGGTAAACCATTTTGTACAGGTAACTCGAGCCGTAGGAACTATAGGGATGTCTCAGGTTCCTCCGAAGGCGACTGCAGAAACATTACTGAAGGAACAGGTTAAACAGTCCAGGCAGGAGCTGCCCCCACCACCCCCTCCCAAAAAAAGACAAGTCCCAGGGGATGGTGAAGCAAAGAAAAGGTGAGTGTGCCCCCCACCAGCTTCTTTTACTCCCCAGGGGAGAAATAAGGGGACTTGTTTCTCTGTGTTTTTTGGGGGGGTTGAATCTTCTTTAATACAAGAAGGGCCTAAGTTGCAATTGTGAGGTAGGATTTGGGGACGGGGAAGAGAATGTTACATGTTGGTTTGTTTTCTGAGCAACAGCAAACCTGCATCTACCATTAAAGGGAGCCAGGAATGTTGTGCCTCAAAAAAGAAAATCTTCATCTCTTTATAACTCAGTTCTGTTGTTGAAGGATAGAATTAGTTTTATTTGCTTCTCTTTGGAAAGGCCTCTCTGCATCTTTGGATAAAAAGTGGTGCAAAAAGTGCCAAGTATTTTGATTTATTTATTATTCTCTTCGATTCCCCTTAACATATGTCGGAGAAATTGTCTGCACAGAAAAACGCAGAAAAACTATCCCATGTCCTGGTATTTCATAGGAAGAGCAACTTTACAATGATGTCTCCTATCACAGGTATCTCTGGAGTGGCTTGCTTTTTCCTTCTCATATATGAGGAAAAAATATATGAAAATGCGTGACTGTGTCTCTATTAGATATCATATCTAAAGCAAGAGGAATTTTTTGAGATAAATGAAGAAAGTAAATGTTGCATACTCATGATTTTGCCTGTTGTGTTTGAGGAAAACCAGCCTTTCCTCGACGTGGCAGCGGGTAAGGTCATTGGTACCTCGTTCAGGGAGGTTGGAGGCAGCGTGGGATCACGCTGCTCTTCATGCAGCCCTGTGATGCAGGTTTGCATCTCTGCAGCTCTTCTCGTTTTCCTGCTTTTTTTAGAGAGAGAATGGAGGTTCAAAGAGAGGAGGAACTTGTGCAAAGCCGTGTGAGCCATTTCAGAGAAGCAGAACCCTGTTGGGAACCTCTGAGCCCTGGGGCTCCCAATGTAATAAGACAGGCAGCAGCCCCTCCATCCTCTGCTGATCACTCAGGAGTTGCAGAAGCCATTTCAGACTTTGGAAGCAGAAGTGATTTAGATCATTTTTTTTTCTAGCGCTAAAGCTGTACTGGAGTAGAGAGGTGGATGAAACAGTTTGAACTTTCATCTGCTGTTTTTGTTTCTCCTCTGTAACTCATGTGCAATTCCACCAGCAAATGCACAGTAACAAACATCTTGCAGGTTTGCCCCTACTTCCCTCCATGTGGCTGACAGTAACTTCTGTGCCTGTTGGCAGGCTTTAACCCTGTTAGGGCTCAGACTGGGTGAAGCAGTCCAGTTCTGATATTGCTTGGCTCTTAGTTCATATAATATATCTATTTTGTCCTTCTCACCAAAGCTATGCAGAGTACTGATTAATTTTGGATTTCCTGGGGAGGAGCAGAAGGGAGGGGGCCCTTGGTTTTAAAGCATTTATAAATATGAGAAGGTTGGGCTAGGATAGATAAATCCAGCTGTGCTAAAAACCTCAAGCCAGAAGGCAATCCTCAGTCAGCTAAACATTCAGAAAAGTTTGTCTGCTGTCATTATCCTGGGGACTTTGGAAGCTCCTTCTTCAGATTGAACAGTGTTGCAGGTATTCCTAAAGCCAAAAAAAAAAAAGGAAAAAAAAATCTTTACTACTAAAAAAATGTTCAGCATTAGGGAATGTCTTTCCTAATGTGTTAAAAGGAACAGTAATCACTTGCAGGAAGATTTTTTAAAAAATCATGCCAAGGAGAAATCATGCCAGGCCCTTTCAGTTTGTTCAGAGAGGCTAATGCCACTGATTTTTTTTTTTTTTAACTTTCTTTTTTTTCTTTTTTTTCACTATGGCAATTTTTTGAAAGTCTGTCCATGTCTTAAGGCCTGCGAGTAGCAATATGAGGAACATGAATGCTCTCTTTTCAGCCTTACTTTTAGGGGAATGAGGAATATGCTGAACTTTATGACTTATTATTTTTTTTAAGGCAGAGTGACTGAATAAGGGAAAATGACAAAAAAAAAAAAAAAAAAAACCCACCTGTCTGACCTTTTAAACTAGGTTTGATGCTGAAAGTGCTGAGCTGATGAACTGGATTGCAAAATCAAAAGCTGCCATTCAGGCCACAGACATCAAAGAGTACAAGAAAATGAGAGAGACTTCAAACATGAAAGAAGAGTTGAAGGTAAATGGGGAGATGGAGGATGTTGCAGTGAATAATGCATTTTGTCACTGTAAGCTGGCTGTCTCCTGGAGGTGCGGGCTCATCCAAATGCTTTGTGGGAATTAAGTCCCTTTTGTTAAAGAGTTTCAGGACTGGACAGCAGGGAAGGCTTCGGAGCAGCTGGTCACGGCCTTTTCTGGTGCTGGGCTGCAAAGCGCACAGAAAACTTTTCAAGTTTATGGTGCCATTCACCGGAGCCCCCAGCCTTTAGGGCTCTGGTGAATGCGTGTGCTGATGATTACTGTGCTGTCCACGAAGCAGCGTTGTTTGGCTTCGTGTTTCATGGTTGGACGTGGGTCTGGCTGATTTGCCTTCATGCAGCTTTGACAGAGACGGGCCAAGGGCCTGCTCAGAGCCCCGCAGCGACGCTCTGCAAACCCTGCAGCAGCCAGGGCCCGTGGTGGTCTCTTGCCGTAGTGTTTAAATAGCTTCTTGCTGGCTGCTAATTTCAGAGAAAATCTTGATAGCTGCAACCGTGCACAGTGTTAGTGATGTGCAGGCAGAACACGTTATTTTACAGGCTCCTGTGGGAGCTGTGAAATAACCACTGCTGTCCTGGATTCCGTCTGCTTGGGGAGTGGGTTCTTGCCTGGCCCGGCCCTCGCGCCGGCATCGTTAGCAGCAGCTCACGCGAGCGTTAGTGGGTCCCCAATCTGCTTTTGGAGCCAATGGCAGTGTATAAAAAAATCTATAAAGTGACTTCTACTCTCTGCTCTGGTGCAAAATGGTGCCAGTAGGAATGTCGGAAATAATAGTGCTATGGGATATAAACCCCAAACAGTCCAATAAGTGATTTATAGAGCTATATAAATGTTTGTAGCTTTGTATAAAACAGGCTCCAAAGCAAGAAAGAACATCAGGTTCCAGTGAAGAGCACTGATTTTGAAATGGTTGGGCCCAAGGTGGGTAGGACAGTGTTTGTTCTTCCCGGTGCTTTAAGTTCATGCTTCTTTTTGCACTTAGTGTAGGAAGTCTAGACCAGAGTGATACCCTTGAACAGTGGTTTCAAAGGGTTTTTTATTTGGTGATGCATTTTGTTGATATCCGAGGGTGCATCTGAAATCATGGCCGCAGGGAACTTTCCCTCCTTATGTTAATACAATATACCTTGAGGGTGAATTTGTTCCTTTGATAATCTTAGTAGGGCTGTAAGTTTTTCCTCGGCGGCTCTTTGTCGGGAAGAACAGGGAAGCACTAGATAGATTTGAGCAAAGTGGAGTCGTAGGGCGCTGCAGCTCCTGCCAGCCGACCCTCTAGGTAGGTAACAGGCTCTTGAGGCTTGGAGCAGAAGCAAACAACATTCTTTCTCAAGTGGTTTGTATAATGTGATTACAGTTTTTTGTCACAAATGGCATGTTTGAATGCAAATCACAATTTATGACTTTATTTAGTAGGATTTTTATTATTATTTTCCTAGTGTAATTACACTAATCTCATTTTTTTGTGAGAGCTAGCTCCTCGCAAACAGAAAGCTAACACACATTTTGAAGTGCTTTATTCAAGAAACCTAAAATGTATTTTGTGTGGAAGTAAGGTAACGTTACAGGAAATAAAAGCCAAGAAAAATCACAGTCTCTGAAACTCTTTTTCTGTGGTTTCAATTTGTAGGTAATAGAAAAAGAAAGGGTTGAAAAAAGCCCACAGCTAGATGAACTGAAACGAAGTGCACAGATGCTTTTGGATCAGATAGGGAAGGGTAAGTAAGAAACTTGAAAGTTTTCCTATTTTGTGATTTAATTACTTGAGTTGTTAGTGAAAAATAATGAAATACTATTTCCAGTGGAGCATCCTGATATATTCCTTCACTTTTTCACCATTTTCTCTCTATTAGAAGAAAGAAAACATGTCATTTACTGGTAGGGTATGTTTTTCTTTCTTTCTTTTTTTTTTAATTTACAATCTAAGGGTTATTTTTACAAAAGTAGTAAAGTAATTGTCACAGAAGTAATTGTGAAGGTAGTTGGGTGCTTTTGAGAGGAGTTGGTTTTATTTTGAATCATGCAGAGAATTTAAGACTTGCAAACATAACTGCCTTAAAGATGTGGCAATTTTGAAACGAAACATAAGTTGGACAATATGTGTATCTCTCTCTCTCACTCTTTTCCCGTAGTTTTCTCTATTTTTGTAAAAACTGTCAGTGTGTTTGGATGATACAGTCACAACTCGTGGTATAAAGGCAAGAGAAGCCTACACACTTGGAGGAATGATTGACTTAATTAAAACACCGATCCCTGGAAACTTATAATTAACATCAGTGAAAGCTGAATCTTTCAGCTTTGCCAAAATTTGGTTCCAAAATATGACAAAATTCTGTCAGTGAAACACAGCACTTTGCAAAGAGGGTCTTGCAGGTCTGCTCGGCCTTTGGCTCCTGGTGAGCCTGCTGCAAGGGGCAGTGTTCAGCCAGATCGCAAAGAGCCGGTGTCCCTGTGCAGTGTCCTGACCAGCGAGTCTTTTTCTAGCAAATGTTGATTTTGGGGGGATTTCCCAGCTGTCAGGTTTTCTTCTGGCCACCCCCCATGCAAGGATGCACAGATCTGCTGCGTATCTCCAGTCCTCCCCTTGTCTGCTCTACCTGGAGCCTTTTACTTTCCTGCCGGCCAGGGTGTTTGGTGATCAGATGGTGCCACTGCCCTAAGGCTGATACCTGGAAGACACTGATTTGACCTGGAGTTTGGGTTATTAAAAAAAAAAAAAAAAAAAAAAAGATTTTTTTTCTTTCTCCTCCAGCTCTGATATATTCTGGCTGTATAAGCAGTATCTGATCATAATGAGAAATATATAATCCAATTCGGCTTTTATCAGAGAAAAAAAATGATACAGAAATAATTTCCTAATGTTTTATGTCTTGGGATCCATAGAAAGTAAGGCATAGGAAACTGATTTACAGCCTGCAGCTTTGTTAGCACTTACTAGTCTATTTTTTCCATCTCAGAGTAACAATCTTTCCATCCAACACCAGACCCAGCTATATGTGTGTAGAGTAACGCATGGCACAGACGTATACACATATATATGTATATATTCCTTGGTGGCAGGGCTGCATCTGTTCTGTACATGTGCCAAATATGGGGACTCTGCACATGGCATAGGGGAGCTTCATGGAGCAGAGCATTTAAGTGCCCTCGTGGAAGCTGCCCCACTACCAAAAATATCGGGCTCCACTTGTGTTAAAGCAGTGCAGGAAAACTGACTCCCTATGAATCTCCTCCTTCTATGCTCATCTAAAGGGCAGAGATAATAAATTCAAAGGAAGTGGTAACTTGAAACAAGCTTGCATCTATAAGGATGTGCTGTTAGATGCCCCTTGCACTGAAATTTCTTCACATGCAAGCAAAATCATCAGTTACTTTTGCCACTGGAGGGACTAGAAGAGCAGTGATTGCATGTGCATGGGAAGTCTGTTCACTTGTGCTGCTACACCCTCAAGTCTTGCATTGATTAGTCAAAAAAATGGTATAGAAAATTCTTCATGTAGTCCCTGTGAGCTGGGAATAACTGTGTTTTGTCATGTTGCTTTTGTAGCTATTACAATTTCCTAGGTATTAATCATGTCTGCATATAACATGGGACTGCTAGGCATTTTTCCAACCCTCCTGGGCTGCCCTGGCAGGATTTCCATCCACATTTTTGATGGACTTATTGATGCTTTCCAGCTTGCTGCTTCTCTCTGTGTTTGTGTTTTTTATTTATTTATTTATTTTATTTTTTTCCTTTAAATGGTTATAGACTCAACAAAGAAAATAATTCACTGGAGTAAAGCTTATCTGATGTATATCTGTATATCAAAATTTTGGTGTAAACTCTGGTGGGGAAGGGAGCCAGGTGGTAAAGAGAAACCTAATGGTGAAGAAAGTCAGGTCATCGTTATAAACTGCAAAGTTTTCAAAAGGATAGAATGAAAATGGGATGTTCGACTTGCTCTTCCTTTCACTATTAATGTGAAAGTAAACAGCTGAAGCCCACTAGTAATAAATACAGTTCTGTGGCTGACTGTCTTGGAAGTAAAGCATTTTGGATGTTAATGCAAATGTGTGTCTGTATCTGGAGGGCGGAATGGTTAAACCCTTGTTGATCAACACAGGCTGTGGTTAAGGTAACAATTTTTATAATCTTTTTAGAGGGCCTTTCCACAGAAGATGTAAGAAGCACAATGGAGAAAGTGCTCTCAGGGTGGAAAGAAGTGAGTCAATATCTGGAGGAGGTGGCCAGAAAGATAAAATACCAGGAAGACATAAATGGTTACTTTAGGGAAATGGGTGAACTTGAGAAGACGGTGACTGAAAAGGAAGTCTGCCTGAAGGATGACAGTTCTTCAGCCTCGCAGCCTTCAGCAGTCCAGGTGAGTCTGTCAGTACTTGTTAATTTTGATAGGAAGCTACTGGTAGCACAGAATACCCCAGGAGAGCTTAGCCTGATCAGTAAGAAAACTTAAGAGTTGTTTAGATGCCTGGAGCACCAAATTTTACTGGAGGATTTTGATACTTGAGTCTCAAAAATACTTTAAATTGCTGCCCTAATAATACAGCTCAGCTGTGGTACCTTGGTAAAAGATTTCAGTGTGTGATTTGGTTTTGTTTTTAATCTTTCACAGAGGGAGTTAGCTCATCTCAAAAGCTTGAGCCCTCAGTTGGAACAGCTGAAATCCACCTGCAAGATGCTCACCTCTCAGCCCATGCCCCCAGATTTTATTCAGGAGAGCCTGAGCATTTTTCTTGATCGCTTCAAACTGACTAGTCAGAAACTGGAGGAACGTCACCAGCAGCTGAAGAGAGGTAAATAGTCTTTTGTAAATAGTCTTTTACATCAGTTACCCTGATGATCGTGTGTTTTTCTTCCCTCTAAAAATATTTTTTTGATATCTCAATGAGCAGTCATAGGTGCCTTATGCAGTACTTAGGCCCTTTCTTAGTACTGAAAATGGAATTTTGAAATCCTGTGAAAATGCTCTGTGTGGCTGCTTACTAAAAAGGTAGTACAGGTGAGATGGGGTACAGAATGATTTTCCTATATGCTACTTCAAAGTTATTCAGATAGTGCCTGACCCAAAACTCATTGAATTCCTGCACAGTTTTGTCACTGATTCCACCAGGCTTTGGATCAGGCAGGAAAAATCTTTTTATTCACCTGACAGGAACTGGTATCCCACTACCTGCTCTGTGCCCCTTGCAAAGTGTGTTGGCCCTGGTGTAATGGAATGATTGTGCAAGGATACAACAATTCCTGAAGCTGCATTTAGTGAATTAGCAGAACATATTTAAGGTGGATGAAACAGGTTGAAGAGCTGTGGGTGCCTCAGGCACTACAGAAGAAAATAATAACTAGAAACAAAAAAACTGTTAGAGGAAGAGAACCTTGTAAAATCGAACGTGCGTGTGAAAATTGTTTTCTTTCACAGCTCTGTTGAGCTCATTAGTCATATGTAATTCCTTTTGGAAATTTCATCCTTGAAGTTACTTGGCATTTGGCTTGCTTTTCAGGCACATTCTGCTTGGCTTTTTGTTGCATTAAAATTTCATTATGAGCATTCAAACCAGGCACTCTGGCTGCTGTCAGATTTTAAATGTAGTGCACAGAATATGTAGCTCTGTTAATATTTTACAGCTGAACATCAAGAGCACAGACCTATTAAGATACTCTTTTTACTTAGTTTTCATTTTACATTTCTGAGGAATTAGAGGAAACATTTTGCTAATGGCCCCATATGGAGGAGCAATAACACACTTTTCTTCCTTTTCTGTGTGTAATAAAAATAGCTTCAATTACTGAATTATTAAGCAGTCTGTGTAATGCAATGCACAAAGTCCGAGGGCTTCAATTACATCAGTACAGGAAACTATGAGTGACAAACCTGCTTGCCATGCGCAAACTATGGCAAACTACGGCCAACATTTTTGCCATTAGGAATAATTATTTTATGTCTGTTTTGACTTAGTTCATATATTTTGATTAAATTTAGTGGAATTCTATATTTCAGTAGGTTATTAGATGATATGATTAAAATGTTCTTTTTTCCTTAATGCCATGCATCACTTGAAGCTGTATATTTCAACCACTTACTACTTGCTAAAAAATATCTTACATATCTTAGTATATTAAATTTGTATTTGTATAGCTTTTTTGAATCATGGTTTCTCTACAGATTGCATACACCGCCTTTGCAAAAGGTATATGATTTTGTCAGAAGAATTTGGCATTGTTGGAGACTGGAGGGAAATGCCAATATGAGATAATCTCTGCAGTTGTTTGCAACATGGTTTGACTTACTGTCAGTGAAGGAACTTGCATGACCTGTAACGGGCAGCAGTAACTAGCGTTAGCAATCAAACAGTTAGAAACCTGCCAAGCTTTCCTAGTGCCAGAACTGCAGCTCCTTTAACTGCTGCTCTTTGAGCCTTTGCAAATTCTCAGTAACAGGAGTGGGGCTTAATCTGAGTGTGATCTCTGCTGGCATTTTTGGTGGGAATTAATGACTTTTTTAATCAATGAGGAATTTAATTTTTCCTATTAACTTTTGCCCTCCTTTAGGATTTGCAGTGTTTTAGTGACCATGCTCCAACTTGTTTTAAATTAACCTTTTTTTTTTTCTCCTTTTAAAGTACTACTGGCTTTTTGAGAAAAGGAGCTAGATAGTTATAGTTTTCTCTTGAAATGTTGCCTCATTCCATAGTTATAAGCGGTTCGGCAGTTTTGACAGTAATCTGCTGAAAAGCTCCGTGGTGGGTCACAACATGGCTCAGCTTAAATTTCACTTGTGTCGGGAAAGAAACTGCTTCCGTATCCTAGGCCAGAGAGTGCACGTAACACAAAGGTGTTTTTAAAACCAAGATGTTGCTTGCTGTAGTTTCTTAATATTTAATTTTTTGCTGTGATTTTCCAAAATGAATGTGCGAGGTTCCGGAGAAGGCAAGACTTGAATTCAGAGATGCAAACAAACGATTCCCAGCATAAACTCAGGCCAAACTTCAGTTCTCTTTTTATAGCCCCTGGAGTGCTTGTATCCTAGTAATAGGTAGCTGCTAGGTTTGTGTGTATGTATATATACACACTGTATATAAAAGTAAGTTATTAACTGAAAGTAAAAGATTGTAAGGTGTAGGCATGTAAAAGTTTCAAGTCCTGTTGATTTTTTTCCCTTCTCTCTCCTCTCTTCCCCCAAGTGCTTAAATATATAAGAAATGTCTAAAAATGAAACTAAACTTGGGTGGAGTGGGAAGACTCATTCTCAAGAATGTTCTTTTGTCTAGATGAAAGATGGATTACCAACACAGGGAACAGTATCTTTTTTTTTTCTTTTTTCTTTTTTTAAAGAGAGAGAGAGAGACAGACCAAAGACCCCTCTTCCTCCACCAGCGCCTTTCCTCCCTGCTTGTTTCTTTTCCTTGGTGTTTAGGGGCGTGTGTGTGTTTGAGGAAGGAGGAGTTGTCCTTTACTCCTTTTTTTTTTTTTTTTTTTTTTTTAAAGGAAAAACTACTGTCATCAGAAAAGTGTATTTTGATTCAGTTTTCGTTCTTGGAAGGACTCAGTAGGATTCAATTTCCAAGCATTTCTAATGAGTTTGATGATTTGGTTATACGTTCATGTAATTTGGTTCTCGTGTCTGTTTCCTTACATGTTATTTTTGTTTGACTTCCTAACAATGATAGAGACAGTCTGCCAGCCCAGCCAGGATTATTTGGACTCTCTGAAGAGCCTGAAGGATGTGCTGAGTGAGCTGGAATGCAAGCAGCAGTCCATCATGAACGGGGTGAATGACCCAAGTAAGGTGGAAAAAGCCTTACAGCAGACAAAGGTATCTTTGCTACTGAAGCTAGAAAGCTGGTTATCTGAAATGCTACCATGAATACATTCAGATTGTATCTTCTGTCTCTTCAAACCAGAAAAATAGTTTTCGGAGTAGCTAAAGTGTCTAAATTTTTTATTGAAGCTTTAATAATAATTGTGCTTTATTAGCTGAGGAGGTGAACATTCTCAGCCTATTTAAAACAAAGAAGCACCAAAAAAAAATGTGGAGAGGAGAAAGCCGAGGTCCTGGTTATGTGAGCGGGGCTGTTGGAAGTGCTGACCTGGCCTTGCTGCCCTGAGCGCAGAAATGCAGAGTGCAGCAGGGCCTCGGGCGCCCGGCGGGCAGGGAGGGCTTTGCCAGGCTCTGGAGCCTGCTCTCTTCCCTGCTCTGGTGCCAGCCTGGCAGCTGGAGCTTTTGGTGATTAAAAGCTTCTCTGGACCTCCCTGCCACAGCGCCAGCAGTAACTGGAACGTGGCTGTTCACTGTCTCTGCGGCCTGGGATGTGCTTGTGCTTGTATGGGAATGTGGGGCTGTTGCATGGCTGATGCACCTTGCAGTTATCCTTGTTTGTTGCCCCCTGCTCTAGACTGTCTGCGAGACACTGGAAGCCCAGAAGACCAGGATAGATAAGCTTGCTGAAGAAACAAAAGCTTTAGAGAAACAGGCTGCCTCTGATACAGCAAAGGTCTACAAGCAAGAACTCAGTCATGTACGGGGGCACTGGGACAAGTTAAAGCTCAAGACAGCCAAAGAAGTTCAACTACTGGAAGAAATTACATCTAAGTTCAGGATATTTGAGGTGAAGTAAAAGGATTTTGTTTTACATAACTCATCTATTTCAGAGTCCTTCTCTGTGTCTCTGCAGGACCAGGCATCCAGGTGATGCTGATTAAGTGAAATGTAGACAGACTACTAGTCTGGTAGAGCATGGAACTATATCATATATTGCTAGCAGGACAGTTTAGGGCTTTCAACATTCATAGCACACTATTTCATCTTCTAGTGGAATTGTTTTTCGTTTAAAGTGGATATTTTTCTTCTTTCAGTACCAGGGGGTAAAAAGGCAGAGGCTGTCTCAGGAGTGGGCGGTGTGGGAGCTGTGCTGTGAAAGGCCCGGAGAGGGGCCCTCTCCAGCAGCTGCTGTCAGACCGCGGGATCAGTTCAACCCACTGAGAAGGGAAGTGAAGAAAGTGCTCAGCAGCAGTGAGGAGCTCTCCTGTTCCCACAAGTGGCCTCTGAAGGGGCAGGAAGGTTAATGAACACACCACCCACCCCTGCACACACACTTGCAAATTCATGGCAAGAAACCCTGTTGCTTAATGGGAGGAATTACACCCAGAGGTATTGAGATTTTTGACCTGTTGATATCAAGAGGATATAGAGCTCTTTGCTCAGGTTGACCCAGCATGATCTGCTAGTTAGATAGGTTTCTTGGTGTTATCCAAAGTCCCTTCATTAGGCTATTTAATTATATTTCTCTGTGGAGGGGCAAAAATAGTAGAAATTTAAATATATTATGATATCACAGTATTATTGTGATTCAAAACTTCTAAATAGGCACTAGCCAGTTTTTCTCAATATCTTCAATATAGTGTGTGAGGTGATCAGAGCAGTATAAATGCCCAAACATAATATCATCTTTGGTGTATTTTTGCTGGAGTAATGCTGAACAAGAATTTGAATATTTCAAATATTTTTCATTATCCAAATGTGTATTAAACGTCAGACAACAAGAATGTGCTTTTGGGGATATTTTGAGTCTCTCTGACTTTCTGTCATTATGCCAGATGTGGCAGTTCTGAGGACCAGTTTTCCTTTGCCACTTTTTACAGGTGGAAATTGCTGAAATGAGATTGTTGAACTCTCAAACTGCTGGAGAAAAAAAAATCCACTTAAAAATCTGTTTTATGTGGAGTCCTTTAAATGAAAAAGCTATGTTTAGAGATGGAGAGACCCATGCATTAGCTAGGAGAAATCTATATTTTTTACACTTATTAAATGTACTGATTTAAATGGAAAATACAGATAATTCAGAGTGTTTCATGTGGCTTATAAACAGGAGCAGCTTCCTATATAAACCCTTCTCCAAGCATGCTATCTTACATGCCCACCACCACTTTCCTCCAAAGATCTCTCTTGATCTTGGTCTCCCAAATGCTCCTTTCTGAAGTGGGAAACTGTATTTTGCTAGTGGGTTCAAACTTCAAACTAAGTTTTTATTCAGGTGGGCAAGCCCTTTAATGACTACTTAAGCATGGACATGGGGTTTAATCTGAAATTCTTATTAGTGTGGCCAGGTAATTGACCTGCAGTGGGAGTTTGAATCAACTTTTGTTGAATGCAGTTGGATAATAGTAAGAGCCTCAAGCCTGCCTTTAGCCATAAGTCTGAAAAAAAATCACAGTAAGGATAAAGGATCTTAACCCAACTTCAGTTAAGAGCAGAGTATGTATCCATGTGCTCATAAAAAGTTTTACTGGTGAAAAGTATGGAAGGGGAAACTTGTTCCTGTGTGTAAAGCTTTATTCATTAATTATCATTCTTATGACTTGAGCTGCCATTTTCCTGGAGAGTTGCTAGCGGAGTATGTTCTGTGCAGGGACAGTATGAGTAACACAAGTGTGGCCATTTGGTCTAGTCTAACGCCCTTGTAAAGGAAAACCACAAAAAGACTTTCCTCCCACAAAGAGGAAAGAGGTCCATTTCATATATATAACATATTCCATGTTACCTGAAGTGCTGAGATGGATCCAAGCTGGTCTCTTCACACGTGTGGGGATGCGTGTGCCGCATTCGGCCTGGGAGCTTCAGGCCTGTTCCTCTGCAGTGCCCTGGGCCTCGCCTGGGCCGGTGCAGCTCGCCTCCTGCCTCCTCAGCACTGCCCTCTCCGCTTCTCCCCACAAATACCTGCGGATAACAAAGAAGGTGGCCCTCTCCCCTCTTCACCATGCAATATACCCTTTAAAGAGTGTAAGGGAAGCAGCTGTATGTGGTTACTGTTGTTAGGGGGAAGCTACTTCCAGCGTTCAGCCACGTCCTCAGTGTTAAAGGTCACAAAATACTGCTTTAACCCAGCTTGCCTCCTAATCCAGGATTACTATGTGATAGCCTGGAGAAGGGTAATGCCAGCTAAACCATTCTGTAGCATAAATAGAAAAAATAGCATTATTTCAAAATTACTTCTTGTAAATTTGAAAACAAACATATAAAATGTTCTGAAACAAAACTTAGGCAATTCTAGCTGTTTCTAAAATACTCTTTTGACATTGCCAGCAGTTGTTGAAATGCAGCAGCCACACACTCTTCATAACAGAATTATATCAACTTTTCATTACCGTGTCCTTTTTAGGCTGATTCAAAAATCATTCAGAAGTGGATGGATGGCGCGAAGGACTTTTTAATGACAGAAAAGGCTGTTCAAGGAGATAGTGAAGGACTTCAAAGACAACTTGACCAGTGCACAGTGAGTTTTGCTGTTCTAAAGAATCTTCTAAAATAAGCAGTATGATGAGCATCTCTCTTTTTTATTTATTTTTATTTTTTTTATTTTTTACTGCTATTATTGAATATTGTCCATGGATCATACAGTGGCTCCTGCCAGAGAATTTGTTGTCTTCTTCAGGCAACGTTTTAATAAGTTCTTCATGTGTATAGCCAGAACACTTTGTACTTTCCAAAGGCCTTCAACATATTAACAGACAGTCATCTACAAACTGACCTCAAGTCCTCTTTAAAAGAAGCGTATTTTTTCCCTGTTTTATGATAAGGGACTTAAATCTGAGAGAAAAGTGCTGTACTCATTAAACTTTCAAGAGCAGAAAAAATAATAAGAAAATAATTCTGATGATGGAACTGCCATGGCTTAGAAATTGTGTTTGCCTTACACTGAAAGCCATTTTTTCTTCTGAACTAGTGGCACATAATGATCACTACAAATGGGTAGAGTTTTATGTTATGGCCAGTGACTGAAGTGTACCTTCAAATGTTTGATTTCTGCAGAAGAAAAGTCCAAGGCATGCCAAAAACATCAGGATATTTAATGTGCATCATATGCAAACTTGCAGTGTGCCAATGTAGATATTGGACATGTGAGAATGTTTGCACTGTATAGGACAAGCTGTATTTGGGGGCTTCTAATTTCATAGAATCATAAAATCATAGAATCGTTAAGGTTGGAAGGGACCTTTAATTTCATGGTTTTGATGATTTAGGCCACTGAGTGGGTTGTTCTAAAGCCTAAATAGTATGGTATTGGTATCCTGTAGATGTGTGTAACATCTTATTGAAGAAGGTGTTGTAGTGTGCCTCCATAGTACTTTTCTAATGTTTGCTTTCTCTGATTTGTATTTAGAAATTTGTTAATGAAATGGAGAAGGTTGAACTATCCTTAAAAGAGATGAAAGAAGTAGAGTCTGCTTTAAGAAATCAGCCTGTCGCAGGCATAAATACGTGGGCAAAATCTAGGCTAGCAGACTGCCAGTCACAGTGGGAGAAACTGAGCAAGCAGGTGAGTTGCCCGTTTGTTGCAGGGGTTTGCTTGTTACTGCTGTATTTGCCCAGCCTAGGGGGCCTAGCTGGGGCAGTGAAGCAGTGACCAGCTAGATGATACGAGTCGTCAGCTGTGGCAACTGCTGCTGACAAAATAAAAATAAACATTTTAATTCTTGGACACTCTAATTTCAGTATATTTTACATATTCAATTGTTGTAATGGCTGAAGTCCAACTTGGCCTAGTAAATCCTTCAGAAATATGAATGTGTTAATGAATCACTAGTAATTTTATTTGAATACGTGCAGTTCTCTGTGTCTAAGAGTTCATTGTGCTCTTTCCCATTTAATTGTTTTTTAACTAATTTGTTGACTTTGTATGCTGTTACCCCTTTTCTGAAAAGCAACCTGGCCTTTTGATTCTGTTGTCCCTGAAGTCTGCATTATGTTTTTTAACTAATTTGTTGACTTTGTTGTATGCTGTTACCCCTTTTCTGTAAAGCAACCTGGCCTTTTGCTTCTGTTGTCCCTGAAGTCTGCATTGTTCTTCCAATCCTGTGTAATATCTGACTCCTTCAAAACAGCTCTGGTAGGGGGAAAAAGAAGAAGGGAAAAAAAGAAAAGGCTATAAATAGGCTACCACTTCAAGTTGGAGTGTATGAGTCTGTCTTTTGAGTGGAAACTTTCTACTGTCTAGAGAAAGATACTTCTTCAGTTGCCCTGCCTGGATAGAGTCCTGGCTGTTGATATAAACTCCAGAATAACTGGAGAGTGGAAGGAAGTGAGAACCCTTCCCCTCAACTGCCTGATCTACTTGTCTCTTGGGCTTGGGTTAGAATTAGCCTGTGTGTAAAAAGCCTCTTTCTTAAAATAAAAAATAAAAAGCTTGAATAGAAAATGTTTTAACACAGACCTGTATGTTTTTCACATATACAGAAAGATTCAAGTAACAAAACTGCTGCTTCTTTCTCCCATTTCACATTCTAGATTGTTAGTCAGAAAAACCGCTTGTCTGAAAGTCAGGAAAAAGCTGTAAATCTGAAGAAGGACTTGGCAGAGATGCAAGAATGGATGACCCAAGCCGAAGAGGAGTATCTGGAGAAAGATTTTGAATATAAGTCCCCTGAAGAACTAGAGAATGCGGTGGAGGAAATGAAGGTCAGGAGTAGGAGACCATCGTGGAGACCTCATTAAAGAGAAACAAGGCTTGACGGTTTCTGGGGGGTGACCTTAGTGGATTTGCTGTCTGTGTGGAAAGGAGCTCAGGTCACATAAAAGATTAGTGATATTTTTTCAGTTTCACTTCATGGAATTTTTGTTTTGAAAGCACAAATGGAAAAGCAGATGTTCTACTTGGCCACAAGTGGTAGAGATTTAATAATAAAGAGCAGCTTGCCCAGCCTGCTGCGCCAGGCTTGGTGTGTGTGCAGCATACTAAGCCCCAAAGAACAGGAAAACTTGTTACAGAGGAAGAAATCTGAAGAAGAGCGAAAATCTTGCATTATACTTCTCTAAATTAGCAGTCTTAAGACATTATTTGATTCTTCTGCTTCTACTGTTTGGTTTCAATTTTTTAGTTAACTCTACATTTAGAAAAGTTAACTCTGCATTTAGAAAAGGAGCTTAAAACAAATTTGTTGTGAAGGTTATTTGATGTTCCTTGTCTGTTGCAGAGAGTGATACTTGTCCCTATGTTTTGACAAGAGTCCAGGCATTTGCACATTGCTGTTTCAACTTGTATTACATATAATTTATCTAAATAAGAATTGACTAAACTGTTACCCAGTGGAACATGGCAGTCTGTTATAGCCTCTTGTATTTGCAATAAGAATGTTGTGTTAGGACTATATTGAATACTGGGAAAGAATACTCAGCATATATTTCACCAGGAGCATTTTTGCATAAGGTTTTGGAAAACCTTCATGAGTTTCCCCGAATTCTGTTCTCATTTGAACAGAGGGTGAAACTTCCCCTAACATTTGCTGGGGCAGAGTTAAGATGAGGCTGGAGGTTTTTGATAATTCCGTTGTAAAAGAACGTGCTCTGCAGTTCTGCTTAGCCTTCACGCTATCATTAGCTGGCATTTCCTTGATTACAAAACTGCTTACATTTAAAAGATGTCTCAACAATATTCAATAATAATGCTGCCACATAGAAAATTCCTAACTGTCTCTTGAAGCCTGAATAAAAGGAGCTGTGGGACAGTCTCTGCTTCTGGAGCCTCCAGGTTGTTTCCATGCAGACTAGTTGATTTTTCTTCAGTGAACAAATCTTAGGTGGAAAATATGTCTGCATGTTTGGTTTGAAAGGTTAATTGCTGAACATCTGAGCTGAACGCGCAATATGTTTCCTTGGGCAGAGGGCAAAGGAGGATGTATTGCAGAAGGAAGTGCGTGTGAAGATTCTCAAGGACAACATCAAAATGTTGGCCACCAAAGTGCCTTCTGGTGGCCAGGACCTGATGACTGAGCTGAATGTGGTCCTGGAGAACTACCAGCTCCTGTGCAATCGAATCCGGGGGAAATGCCACACTTTGGAGGTATGGATGGTAATGCTCAGTTGAGTAAAACTGCAGTAGAAGGTGCAAGAGGGGTGTCGGGTTGTATCAGTGAATACAGTACTTTGTGCATAAGCATGTTTTGCTGTAGGAAAATCATGTTTGCCATTGTTTTCTTCTTCCCTCTGGTACTATGAATCCCTAGAATCCCTAAGAAACCTCCCAACTTTGCTTTGATCACCCATTTGTGCCTTGTAAGGAACACTTCTGCGAATAAGTGACCGTGCTCCACAGCTCTGTTCTCCATCCATGTCTCTTCCAAAATGACAAAAAGAATCTTCCAGAGTAAAGGCTGAGATGCTTTGATGATGATGCTAATTAAGATGGATTGATTATGATTTGGAGCATGCTGTGTATGTCCAACCTTTCAGGAGGAGTGCATGAACGTTATTATGTATTGCCCTGTAGTTGTGGATTTTTCTGGATAGAACTTATTATGGCATAGCATATTTTTGAAGGTATTCTACCTGCATGTTTTACATGAATGTATCCATAACATAAAATATTTGAGTTGTTCAGAGGATATGAACTATCCTTTCTGTTCTATGCTAATTTAGTTCTGTTACTTTTAGGAGGTATGGTCCTGTTGGATTGAGCTGCTTCAGTATCTCGATCTAGAAACAGCCTGGCTAAACACTCTGGAAGAAAGGGTGCAAATGACAGAAAATCTGTCTGATAAGTTGGATGCTGTCAATGACGCTCTTGAGGTATTGTAGTCATTCTTCTGGAATAGCAGCTTTTCAGATAGTCCTACTTGAAAAACAGCAAAAGTAATCTACACTTTAGTGGAATTCTGAATACTGAATGTTTTGATTCTTTGTATCAAATGATCATCTAACTCTGATTCTGAAAAAAAAGGATATTTGTAAAATATCTTAAGAAAGGATGAGCTTTGCTGTTTGTAACAGTTGTGCCAGACTTTCTATCGTGCCCATACTGTCTTCTGCCCTTGTGTAAATTAATTAATTCCTTCCAGCACTATAGTATGAAATAGCAGTGAATAGGTGGGAATTGCTGTGAAGTTTAATTACCTAAAACAAAGTGACCACTGTGTCTGCCCTGTGCAGTCATGGATTAAGCTATAACCAACTCATGCGTTTAAATCATGTTCAAGCTATTTTAAGTCTTAAAACCTCTGTGCATGCAACTAAATTTTCACTTCAGAAAATACAGGAATGCTCAGTGTCTTGACCTTTCTGACTTTTTCTGCTAATTAGTCCCTGGAATCAGTGCTGCGTCATCCAGCTGATAATCGGACGCAGATTCGGGAACTTGGGCAGACCCTGATTGATGGAGGGATTCTTGATGATATCATCAGTGAAAAACTGGAGGCTTTCAATGCTCGCTATGAGGAACTGAGTCACTTGGTAAGAATTTGGGACAGGGTGGAAGTAACTTGCTTTTAAGGTCAATGCTCTGAAATGATTCCAGTTAGATGGCTGAATTCATGAATGCAGGACTGCAATGTAGGAAAAGAGGAAAATCCTTCACAAAGTTTTTAGCCACTTTCAAGTTGGAATTATGCCCAAAGAAAGCTACTGTTTTCATGTAGTGTAGGAGGAGGAGGCAGTTTTAGTTCATTTACTGTCGATACATGGATGCAGCACCTTCATCTGGGGGCTGCATGTTGCTGTTGTTGTTTGTGTGTTGTTGTTGTTTGTGTGTTGCTGCTGTTGTTTTTCCCTTCCCTCTTATGGCACTTTGCTCCTATAGTGGAGGAAAAAAAAAGAATTTTTGTTTTCAGGGCAGGAGGAATCTTTGGGACTGACTCATTTGGCTGTTGCTGATGTTCTGCGAGTGTGTGCACCCCCCAACACGTGTGCCCACACATGTGGGACACAAGGGTTCATGCATGTTGATGGTGAAGACTTGGTGCTCTCATGCCAAGTGCAAGGTTTCAAGGAACTTCCAAGTTCTGCTGTTGAAGGGAGTGATGGTGGAAGGAAGGAACCGTGACCCTCTGCTTTCCATGTTAACACAGAGAATTTTTGTCCTGAAGGAAAATATACAGGTTTACATATTAACAATACAAAGTTGTAGTGTGTTACCAAGTCCCTGATTGCTATAGGCTAGTTTTTGGGAAATGGCTGAGTATTTTGGCTCTGTTTACTGAGAAGACTTGTCTTCAGAACACAGTATCTGTGTTCTGGCAGCAGTGCTCTCTTCCTTTTTGGTCTGTTAGGGTTACTGCTGTACATCTCACAGGAGGCTTCAAGAGTGCTGCCCTGGGGGCTTGCTTTTGCTCTCTTTTTAGACAGTCCTCATGCTGTAGGTTCCCTCCTACCCTCATCTTGTTTCAGGGAAAAAAAATAGTATTGATTTTCTTGCTCAGCTGCTCCCATTGCCTTTCTGTCCCGCTCAGGCGGTAAGCCGGCAGATCTCCCTGGAACAGCAGCTTCAGACCATGAGAGAAACCGACCACATGCTGCAGGTCCTGCAGGAAAACCTAGTGGAGCTGGACAGACAGCTGACGTCCTACCTGACCGATAGGGTGGATGCCTTTCAGATGCCCCAGGAGGCTCAGGTATTGCAGCAGAGCTTTTCGTTACAAAGCATTTTCAAGTGCCTTATGGTGTTGCTCAGCCTAGATTTCATTATAAAGGTTCCCTTTCAAACCTCTGCTGATGCGCTAGGTGACAGCTTCAGTGATGTGGGTTGTTGGCCCCTGTTTCTTTGGTTGTTTTTAAAGAGGATGTACCAAATAACAATCTCAATGGCTTTCAATTTAGCAAGCTGTCACTGGAGCCAGAGTACTTCAAATAAACCTGGTCACATTTACTTTTACATGGTGGATTCACTTCTGCTGGGTAATAGGTGATCACAAGATTCTTCTTCTCTCCCTGCAAGACTTTAAAGTGTGTTTTTTTTTTTTTTTTTTTTTTTTTCCTGGCTGGAAAAAAAATTAAAGCTGA